CAATAGTCTTGTGCAAGCACAAGGCAGGATTCAGCCAGGTCGGATGCTGACCATGCTGTTCTGAGTAAGACAGTGAAGATGTTTCAAGCAAGAGAGTATTTTCTGTTATAAACAGCACGATCAGCACCCCTCACATAGAGCTTGAAGTTACAATAGAGTTGAGATTGGCTTATACAACTGTAGAGTTACCAGAAGAGAAACAGCATTTCCTGCACATGAGCAATATCAAGTACGCTAAATGACTTCTTAAGACCAGTATAAAGCTAGGCATGTAAGTACCTGACTGCAACCATACCCAGGAAGTAATATGAGAAGACCTTGATTCATTTTCAGATTTGTGTAGGAAAAGGGTTCAGACTTATTAAAGGACAGATTTCAGTCACAAGTCCAACAATCACATCCTGCTGAACATTCTTCTTGCAGTAATATCTGAAGAGAGCTGTTTCTGGTCCTTAGTCACACTGTTTTCACTGTTGGCAGTGGTGACTTGGCCTGTGTACAGTTAGGAGGCCACAGAGCAAAGAGCCAAGGGTTCTTATTAAAATTCCTCCACTAACCTAAAGATTTTGCATTACAAATTATGTAATTTTCAACACATCCTCCCTCAGCATTGCTCATGAGAATAATTCTTCATTTTCCAACCCCACTCTCACTTGCATGTGTGAAAAATACCTATGCGATAGACCCATTCGAGCCCAAGAGAGAGGGGAATATTGGTAAGACCTGTTTGTCATGGTGTTAGTACAGCCATAAGTATGACTGTGGCTTGGCAGTTCAGATTCCTATCCTCTTCCCATATATATTATCTCACTATCACAAACTACCACAGCAGCTAGGGATCACAGGTAGAAATGAGGATGGGGAGGTACCTGTGAGACACCATCATACAGCAGTTGCTCGTTCCTGAGTACTTATCCTACAACTCCCCCTTAAACACTACTTATGCTGGTTAATTGTTACTCTCTGAAACCAAGGTTCACAGTTCAATTTTCCCTCCTTTTTCCAAGAGTGGAGGACAGCGAAACTGATTTCAGAGGCTGCCACTCATTCTTCTCTCTGCACAACTCTCTGGCTCTTCCACTGCCCTTGCGCTATGCAGCAACTGCTTGGGAGGTCACATTGTCTACCAGATCACCACAATGATCTGATTTAAATATAACTCATCTTTCCACAACTTCCCCCCAGAACAGGGGTTTATTTTTAATCTGGATCACTTAACTAGGTTCCCATTAACAGCTCTAACCCATCAACAGTTGTGCTGGCACAACTGAGGGGAGTGTGTCCATGGGAGTAAGGCAACAGGATCTTTTAAAACCAACTTTGCAGCTCAGGTCAGTGCATCACAGAGTCCCTTTCCCAGAATAAAGGGTAAGTGTGTAACAGAAGTAGATTTTGATTTCCATGAAGTTTTGAATACAACACCTGAACATTCAAACTCTCTAGCTGATAGGACTAGCATCTCAAAGCAGTTCCAAAGGCAGCATATCTGTAAGTCCAGACCAGAATTATCAAAAGGATTCAAACACTGTTTCACTGTTCAGTATAGAAATGAAGCCATTACACACATTTACACTGCATAGCTAACTGGCTGCATACATCCCCAGCAAACAATCATGAAATGGTTTGGGCTGTAAAGGACCTTAAACACCATCTAGTTCCACCCCTCCTTGAAAGCTTGAGTCATACTCCATTTTTACTTAGTTATCTTAACCTGTTTGGGTTTGCACTCCAGCTCTCGTAACATCAGAGTACTTTCTGCTGATACAGCAACATGCTCTTGGAAAAGAAATAAGCTATATTGGTAAAAGAACCCTTTGCAGTTATTGGGAAACCTGCATCTGAGGAGAGACAGTTACCACTTCACTCCTGTTAGACAAAGCAGGACAGTTTGAGTGTGTGGATCAGCCAAAAAGACATAGAGGAGAAAAACTCAGGATAATCACTGTCAAGCAGCAAGAACAATTGCTCATGTTCTTGAGGAGTCCTCGTATGTGACAGACTGCTGTGGCCTTGAGCCAGGCTTTGACTGGTGTAAGAGCTGCAGAACTGGACATTCTGGCTACTTAGGGCTTTTCAAAATCATGTGGATTTGTCTGACACCAAAACCTCAGACTTTGTGAAGGGCCCAAGGACATGCTACAGGAGGAAATCCACAATCCGTTCCTTAAAAATAAACAGCAAACAAACTCATAGCTACCAAACTGTGAACTCACTACAGGCCCTTCAGTATGAGTCACTGAAAGTTGAACAGATATAAGCTTGCCACACTGTGGTAGGCTACTACTAACGTTTTTAATTGTACCTTCAGCCACGACCACCTATTTTTTTCCCCATTGATGAGACCTACAGAACAAGATGTTGATGACCTCATTTTAAGGGTCATGCTCCAGCATAATTCAATGCTGACAGCAACACTTTGTGTCCTCGGTGCCTGACCTGCTGCCAGACAGCTATGCCTGTGCACACCAATGCAGAGGAGAAAGCTCACACATAGGGGAACCAGTGTTCTGAATGACATGCCTGCTGGGCAAGGTGACAGGTCATTAGATCCAAACACCTCTTGGTGACTGGGATAAACAGAAACAAGGGTCATAAATCTGGGTCCTTCTAAGTAACTTCCAAGTGGACTTGCAAGATGCTGTAAGCCTGAAGAAACAACCCTCCCTGGGGTTGTGGCTCTCTGCCTTCCAGCTCTGCTAACACAGACTGACACAGGCCTTACCGCAAACCTGGGTGTGAGATACAGGAGGGCTGTAAGTGATGCACACCCTATACTGCCCTGATGAAAGGTACAAAACCTCTGACCTGCTCCAGAGCATGTGGTAAGGCAAAACCCACCAGAGAAGCTGTAAGGTTCTCATCTCTATAGGGGATGTCCTGAAAGCATGCCCTCACTGTATTCCAGCCAGCATCCAACTGCACACAATGCTTTAAAGGCCAGAAGGGTAAGCAGCAAGCACAGCAAGGAGTCCAAGACAATCCTGTATGTATCTTAAGGAACTAATTTAATGACTTCTAGAAGAAGTAGCTTGTGTTACCCTCAGGAGGGTAAGGATTTGAGAGGAAGGCTGAGAGAGATGAGCGAGGCTGTGTGCTGGAATTAGAACATGAATTTTCCTAAACAACATATGGACTTGAACCTTCCACAGGATTTGCATTCCCTTGCCGAGCTGGCTAAATACCAGCCAGCTCACACCTGAAATCCCTGTCCCTGCCTCAGTACAGCACTGTGCTCCAGGTTTAATAAACCCCAGCTCTCGGCAGGGATTGCTAGCCAAGGAACAGCGCTGAGCTAACATGTCCCTGTTGTTCTCATTCAGGGCTTCGCTTGCATGATGCCAGCCCAGAGCATGAGCAGGGCCAGCTCATGCCAAATGCAACATCAGTTGCTTTGCAAACAATTTTGCAATTTTTTTTTATTACAAGCTCTGTATTCTTGTTTTTCCAACCAGAACAAGCTAGAAATTAGTTTTGCAAGCAAGTTTTATCATTTTTCACATCTTAGACTGGAGGAGGAAAGAAAATCACAACCCCTGCCAAAGCGATTCCTCCTTGCCCATGAGTCACTGGCTTGACTCAGCCTGGTGGGACACGAGCCATTTGACAACAATAGAAACCTAGCAGTTTGCATCTCAGAGTTAAACAAGCTCACGGGCCCTAAAAATAAGCCTGCTAGGCTGCTGAGGTCGTATTTTCCTACCAAATTTCCTGCCAAGCGGTTCCAACCATCATTTGACCACATACTGCTTCATTGATAGACCTTCTTAGTTTATTGTAGGCAGAAAGATTTAATTAGTAAGTAAGGAAGCAGGGAATTCCTGTTGGTGGGTTTTGGGAACGGGGGGAGCAGGAGGGAAGAACAAATGAGACAAAGGATTATGAGCAATATGCGCATTTTCCTGGCATGGACAGCACTTCAGAGTAAGCGATGCTATGAAACACACTTCTTTCCTCTGCATGTGTCTGCCCTTTCCTTCCTTTCAATAAAGTGTGGTTTAAATAAAGAAACATCTGCATGAAACTCTTCATCAGAGGACCCCAATCAGGCAATGATAAATAGAAGTATCTGGGGTGTGCACAGAGGCGGAGGATACCAAAGGTCATTGAGACAAATGGGTGCCAAGTCACTTGAGCTGCAGATTAGAATTGGCAGGGATTTCAGGGAGACCAGCGCCTGGCCCCAGCGCTGGAAAAACGTGCTGCAGCACTTACAGAAAAGTACTGAAGTGTCACGGTACAGAAAGGACATCTCAGTAAAAAAGGAAATGCTACAAGCAAATCTATGCAGCAGATGTATGGCACAAGTTCCTGATCACACACAGAAGTTTGTGGTGCGTGGAGTTCACAGCAACAGCTGAATTACCCTTTGGTTCAAGAGTGACTTCTGTGTAGGATCTCTCAGAAGGAGGGCCTTTGTTTCTGTATCTTTCTGTCTGTATTTAGGGAGAATCCACAGCAAGAGTTGCATCCTGACAAGAGATTGTTTGGGACTCCTAACTGCTCTTTTCCCAGTCTCAGATGAAGGTGTTCTCTGGATGCTTTACAGAAAAGAAGGACAAGGCCTCTGCTCTTAAAGGATGTGCTCAATGCTTTCACAAGCAACTGTCTATATACCAACAGTTCAATCACCCCAACTCACACAGTGCTTCCCTTGCTATATCATCTCCCCATTAAAAACAATCTTTATCTGTTAACAGTGATCACCACAACAGTCATCTCTATGCTTCAAACAGGAAATCTCAGCGAACACCACATAAGGCTCACAAGCAAACAGGTTTCCAGCAGCCGCTGCTGGTTGGGTTTTCACATCTCTCTTCTGGGCTGCTCTTTCCCTTGCTATTCTGCTAAATATTTCACTGGTGGGAGATGGGTAACGCAGGAGATTTAAAGCAGTTCCTCAGAAACCCAGCACATTTACATAGCCCAAGCTCTAGCGGTAAAATTTCATCTGGTAAAGCTAAGTACACAGTTGCAGCTGGAGCAAGCAGAGACCAATGGCGAGAACAGGATATATTTTTACTGGCTTTGTCTTTGGCCGCTACAGAAAGAAACCTAAGGGCTCTATGCAATGAGCAGAGATCAAATGTACTCCTTTTTCTTGCAGAGTTTGAAGTGAAAGAGCGTATTCCACAGGTGCACATCTCAGCTTTAGAGCACACTAAGCCAGAACTGTGAGGTGCTTATCAAATAGAGTTAAGACCATGCAGCTCAAGGTCACATCTTGCTCTGCACAGGACAGCGCGGTCTGAATGTGACCTCACCCCATGGGAAAAGCCCTCTCATCTCAGTTATTTCACAACACTAAGGAAAAGAATTCTTCCAAACAGTTCCTCTCTCCAGTCACTTCTGTCATTATGAAGCTCCGTGTCATGGCATTTCACGCATTCAGACCTCAAGAAGCAACTGGCTAAACACAAGTGATCACAGGGATTGCCGGGTAGCCTCTTAGTTTCCCAGGAAAAAAAAGCTGGTGGTAGACAGCAGGTTTCTGATTCACACTCTGTTCACACTGGGAGCATGAAAAGCCAATGAGGAAGGAAGCTCCATCCCCATATGGAAAACAACGTTTTAACTAAGGAAACACAGGATAATTAAAATACAAAGGGGTGCAGACAATTCACAAGTTGAATGACTGTGTTAGCGAGCAAGCTCCACTGGTATTTTAGAGACTGTCCTAGAAAAGGCTGTTTATTCCCAGCACCATAGCAACAAAAACAAATAGGTTTGCCTTAGCTCCTCTTTACTGCAGCCAGGCTTGCAGCCTTGTCTCCAGCAGGAAATCAGGGAAGGAACTTTGACTGCAAGTGATCAGTGCTGAAGATGTGTATTCAGATAAAGAGACTCCTCATCCAGTTCCTTTTGTTTCTTGATTCACAGTCAAACTTTAATCCTATGCATATGGCCTGGCAAGTTTGAATTACCATAGCAACTCTTTTTAAGCTAGCTTCAGGATAGCAGAGAAAGCTGGCAAAGGGGAAAGGTCATTATTTAAATATGTTATTATTATTACTTTTAAAAGAAATTGATGCCAAACACACCAGGAAAACAAGGCTTATTTTTAAGCTTGATGTTTTTAAAAGTGAAACCTCCTTATGAAAACCCTTCACTTTAGGATCTGCAAATTCTTGGTCTCCTCTCACTGTGTGGCCAACATAGCTATACATCACTTAAAACAGTTTCCTACTGGAAGGAGCAAGCTTTTGTATGAAGATGTAGGGCAAAAGAGCAAAGGATGCTTTATTTTCAGGGGTGTATACTTTGGAGAATCATGCAGAAATAGCCTCAGTCTTCTCTGCTGTAGTCCCTAATATTGAAGTTATAATGTTGAAGTTGTCTTTTATAGGTACACCGATCAACACCAGAAGAGGTAGGACAGATTGCTGACAGGGAAACCGATATCCCTTGGGAGTCATTCTGGGTTTTCTCCATTGTCTGAAGGACTGTCATTTATACTTCTTGTTCAGAAATATACAGAAAACCCATCAAGTGCACTGCACACCATTCCTGAGCCAGCACACCTTCATTCGTGGCTTCGGCTCAGAGCAGTGACACAGGACACAGGCAGGACTGATGCTGACCCCAAACACAACAACCTTCAGAGACCTCTGAAGCCATTCCCCCCAGAATCAAAGAGGGAGGGGGGAGTCAGCCTTAAGAGAGCTCTCTGCTGAGCTGGCCCCAAGCTATTAAAGACCTGGAAGAAGTGAGTCCTAGCTCAGGGGTCATGCCAAGAAGCCTGCTCCCCACGTACTATAGTATCAGAGCTGGAGATGTTTGTACAGGATGCTTTGCCCTGGCCATGGAAGGCAGACAGTTTTTCCTACAACAGCAACAAAACCCCCAGACACCAAATGGTACAAGGTACAATTGTACAGCAAAATAAGGCTTAATGTCTAGAGTCTGCAAACTCCTGCAGTTTGGACGCCTGAAGCAGCAAACCACTGCCTGCACCAGCACAGGGGCTTCCTGCACAAGTGCTTCCAGAGACTGAAAGTCAGCAGCATTGACTTTTCCCTCCAAAACCTCAATACTTAAATCTAGCAGAGGGAAGGAGGTAGCTGGGCATTATTTGGCTATGAATACCCAGGTGATCCTAACATAACCATCAATGTGCCTGGCCACATGATGCTAAACCACTGCTGACACATACTATTTCATGTAAGAGCTTGAGACAACAGCTGTGCAATTACTTCAGACTACCAAGAGCTTTGTTTACAGGCAATGTCATTATTTCTCTTTGGTCTTTGAAGCTCTGTTTCACATTTCAGGTGAGAACTGAGGTGGGGATATCTGTCTGGTATAGGGTGCAACACCATTCTTTAGCACACTCCCATGTGCCTTCCCCTGCTCTAAGCGTCCCTGGAGGGGCTCATTAGACATCATGACAAACAAAACCAAAAGTATCCCACTCACAGCAAGACTCTAAAACATGAGACATCTTTTTCTTTCAGCTTGCATGAACAATAAGAATATGATCCACCCCAAAAGGAGGTTTGCAAAGACAGCAGCTGAGTGCTGGCTGCTTACCTCTGATCCAAAGGCACGACTCAGCAAGCAGGTGGACATATCCACAGTGGTGATGCTGGTTGGTGTCAGTAGGCACACAATACTCCCTTCAGGACTGGTGAGACAGGAGCAGGTATGGGCATCAGCCCAACACTTTTCTGTCCGTCATCTGGAAGGGGACCCTGAAAAGGAATGTGCTCATTAGCAGCCTGCATTTATGCCCTTTGCCACATTGCAGGCAAGAGGTGTCATCACCCGCTCTTAAGCAGGTCCTGCTCAGAGTCTTAGGCCACTTCTGAAGATAAAATCAGCCCTAGTACTGGCTTTGCAGCCCTTGGAAATCCACCTGGATACTGTCTGGCAATTGGTGCTTCCCAAAAGCATCTCCTCAGCTTAACCCGTTAGCTTGATTTTACCTAGTTAAATGTATTACCCTGCACTGAGGGGAGGATCAGCTAATAGGAGTTGGTTAGATGGCTTGAATGCTTCTACCTAACTAAAAAGTAGAGGAGGTAGAGCTTAAAGTCATCCCATGACCCCAAGGGAACAGAGTGTGCAAGGAACAGAGATGGAAAGAAGATGTGCAGACATCTGAGAGAGAGACGTGAAGACAGACATGGGCTCGGGCAAATAAAAAGAGGTAAAGCAAAAGAAAACTTGTAGTAACTAGAGGGAAGGAGAGAGCTGGTTAGAGAGCAGACAAAGGGGCAGAAGTCAGAGGTGATGTAGAACAGATAGGAATGAAAAACAACATAAAGCATGAAATGGGAAGATAAATTAAACAAGCATGAATCACTTTTTTATAGCCGCCCCATCACGGGCTGAAATTCTCACAGGCACTACAAAGAAAATGTCCAGAGTCACTGATGTCATCAACTCCTACACCAAGGCTTCCCAGCCCAAAAGGGACCCACACTGCCAGCTCATCCTGTTTTCTTCTACAGAAATGGCTGTGTGCTGGTGTAAGAAGTCAGGAAGAATAAACACACCATTGCTAGTGCAACTTGCTCTTGTAGCCCCCCAACCCCCTACAGTGATATTGGACTAAGGCATCAGGCAACTGTCTCCTCACCACTACACGCACATATACAGTAATTCCTAAATATTGGAATTATTAGGCATAAATAAAGGCCCAAGACAACAAGATCCCTCAACAGCTTTCTGTTGAGCAGAACATCACTGACCTGTTGTTACTACAGGTTTACATTTCAACCCGCCTCCCCATCGAACTGACTGAAGCCTCAGACTCCCTGCAGTGGGTACTCCGCAGAGCTTACACAGTGCTGTGGAAGGCAGATATTAACCACTGTTTGAGTTGTTCTGCAGCCCCTCAGCGCCCAGGCTTTGCTCCCTACCTGAGCTCTCCCTGAGCAGCTTCACTGACACCAGTTTCTGCAAGATGCAGTGTTCTAGAGGTTTCCTTGAGCCTGTTTGCTGTGCAGCAGCACAACCTCCATCCTAACTGTGGACAACTCTCCATCCTGAACCTCTTAGGGGAGCTCTGATGACCAGAGATGGGTAGGTGGGTGACTTGACACCCCCACTCCCAAACAAACTACATTCTCCTTGCAGCTGTCTGAGATCCCTGCAGCAATCAGGGTGCTCCCCCCTATCCCTGTTTCCAAGGCTTGCTTTCTGCTTTCTGCCCAGCAAGGTGACAAGTCATAATTTCACTGGTACTGTTTGAATACAGATCAGGTTCTGATTTCACTGCTCCCCCCAGGTATGTGCTGCAGTTTTCAGATGAGGTGTGCACCAACCTTAGATTTGGAAAAATATGTGTTTTCAGGGATGTCTCGTGCTTTACTGCAAGCCACATAAACTCATGTTCCCTAAATGGTGTTCATTGTGGTATTTAATTTGCAGATTACACAGATAAAATATTAACATTGAGCCTTAGAAATTAGGCAGACTGTTTCTGAGACCCCTTTTAGCAACGCCAATAAGAAGCTTTTGGCAGAGTTCAATTAATACTTCTTTCCCACCAATGAGACCTGGAAGCTGGCCAAGCCGACATGGAGCACTGATGCTTTGTCTGTCTTAATTCCCAGAACGCACAGGCGACTTTCTCCTCTCCCAGCACCCTGCTGCAGGAGCCCTGTGTCAATACACTCCACAGGAAACGTCTGGGCATGACTTGTAGTTCTGTCCTTACTGTCATTAGGATGAGGGCCTCTTCAGTTAACCTTTTCAGGGCTGAAAGCACTGTGCTAAGACTTGCTTCCAACATCCTTGGGTGCTCAGGACTTGGGCTGCCTCTCCCAAAGACAGTGCAGAACACACCAATTCCTGCTTTTCCCCCCACCTTCCCCAAAGGACAGTTCCCAGAACTCTGCTGCCCTGTCATATTTTTAAGTAAATATTTGTAAAAGTCTAACCCTTAAAGGTGGTAAAGAATTCTTCTCAATTTTACATATCTAATTACTTGGGTTCTGTGCACAAGGAGAGCATTCTCCTAGACTTCATCTACCTGGTGAGCTCTCTCCTCCAGTGCTTAGGAAATAGGTGCTTTTCTTCTCTTTTACTCTGTCTTTGCACATGAAAAGCTGCCCAAGACACATCAGTCTTGTGCATTACTTTGAGCTTCCCTAAATCACAGAAGACATCCACAAACTTCCCCTTCATTAACATGCTCTTAATTAGAGTTAACATATTTTAAATCCCCACACATCTGTTAGAAGGCATATACATGTATATTATATATATAATTCCGTATACATATACATTCATATATATAGTTAGGTCCATACCTGCATTCAGTGAGAAAATGCTCACACTTCTAAGCTTTGAATTTTACACTCTTTCAGCCATCTTCATTTCTAGCTCCACATCTGGCTTGCGCCTTTGTATCTTCTTTAAACTAAGGAAGTGATCTTTGGCTTTCCTGAAGGCAATGCCACCACATGTTTGGAGTGCAGTCCAGTACTGCTCAAGTTAACCAAGAGACTCATCAAGCTAGTAAAGATAGCAAAAGCCTAAGGGAATAGCAAGTTTCCCACAATTTTCCATGTAATCAGTTGTTAGGTACAGACTAATCGATAATTTAAGCCACCTATGTTCCAGACAGCAGCTCCTTTTTGCATCTCCTACATACTCCTCACACCACTTCCCAGAAAGCTTGAAAGAGTGAATACAAGATGCTCCCAAACTACATAAAATTGTTTGCTTGCCTTGCTGGACCAAACCCATTGTTCTACCCGAGCAAATAGACATGGATGGGTTTGGTTGCTGCAAAAATGGGAAAAAAAGCACCACTTCTTGTGTTTTTTCCTGTGTGAGGTTCTCATTGTATTACAGATGAAACTTACGTACAAGCATAACAAGAGCAACCAAATCAGATGGTGCATCGAGGTCAAAACTGCATAGCATTTAGTGAAGAACACAGATACAGTTGTGAGAAATTACCTTTCAGGGTAAAAACGTCTGTTACAACAAACTGATGTCAGTGTTAAGGGGTGTTAATTTAAGTCTGGTCCCAGATCATACTCTCAAATGCAGTAATGGCAGAAGATAAACAACGTGAAACAAAGCCACAACAACTCAAGGTTACAGAATCTACGTGCAAATCTGCTTTACAACCAGAAAGCTGGGAACAAGAGCCCCAGCAGCACCAGAGGGCAGCCGTGGGACACCATAAGAAGATGATGTATTTTACCAATTCCTGTGAGCCTCTAACATCAGAGTCATCTTCCATAAGCTCATCTGACCAAGAAAACAGACGGTATCTTTGAAGGAAAAAGATTGTTGCCACCCACATGACCCCTGTAAGTAGAGGAAACATAAGGAAAAGAGAAATTCATAAGGGCCCTTCAACACCAGCTGAGCCAAAGCTGCTTATCCACGCTAGCTCGAGACGCTCCAAATCCTCCTCCATGTATTCATAGCAAGAATTTACCCCCCTACAGATTTACCTATCAGTAAAATCCCCAAACCTGTGTTGTCTACGCAAGGGAAGCACCACCTTGCACAAAACACATTATAATTCAAAGCAGTAGGACACAACACCAGGAGAAAATTCAATATTAGGAATAACGGCAGAACTGAATTAAAGGGGAAGAGTGAGGAATGGATCTCAGTTTTGTAAAGGAAAGGAATATGAGATGACATGGGGTTTATGGCACGGGGGAATAAATATTTCTTCTATCTCTTATAAGCAACCGTAAAGAAAAAATATTCTAATGCCTAAAGCATGTGCCGCCATCCTGCGTTCAGAAAGGAAAATACAAGGTAAGAGGAGGAGCTGAGCCAAGCAGCTCAGTGGTTGGGCGAGAACACCTCTGCTTTGCAGGATCCTCAAGCCATCATCGGACATCAGCTACACCTAACCACTAGTGTTCGGTTGCGATTTACAGCTCCAAGCAGCTTAGTTCTTTCAGCCAGATAAGCTCTAAAATACCCCCGTAGAAAGAAGGTTTCTTCCTGACAACACTCCATATATTTCTTCAGTGTCCTTACTGGCATGCAATAAGACACTCACCCCTCAACAGGTACTGAAATAATCTAAAGGATGGCGAGAGAAGAAGGAAAACAAACCAAAAAGCAGTAGTCTAAATCAAACTATTGAACCAGTTGACACAAGCTTGCCCTCTCCTGCCTTCCCTATCCTGGTTCAGATGTGGGGACACAGCTCAGGTGCAGAACAAACCCCACCTGTGCCTGTTTTCTAGCTTTCTGGCCACTTCCACCACCTTACATCCTTGTCATGAGAAATTGCTCATGGACTATTAAGTTAGCCTCAAAACTGCAATTCAGAGTCACCCTTTGGCAATAACACCCCTTGCTATTGCCAAGGCAGAGCCACAATTCTGCGGGCAGCAGTACACAAATGCTTGCAAGTAGCAGTGTAAGGCTCTAGAAATACAGGTATGAGTGTGCTTTTTGGTGACTTGATTACCCCCCACACCAGAGCACCATTGCATGAGAGGGAATGTGGTCATTATAGCAAAATTTTCAAACAATTTTATATATATATAAAATTATATATATATATATATGTATATATACAAAGACTTATCCTAGCAAGATGGGCCACAAACTGTTACCCAAGAAGATCAAACTACTGATTACTTCCTAACTGCATAGTTGATCAGGAATATTGCTAGCAGAGAATCTGAAAGACCCTCAGCTTCCCATGAGAA